TGTGCAGTATGGATGCGACTGTGCTCTGCCGTGTATGACAGCATGCACTGTGGAGCTGCAATCACAGGCCATATGGCTGCAGTGCACTGGCGTTAATAACAGGGGACAGAGGGTCGCAAGCGGAGTACGTGGACAGCACCAGAATAGTGAAAGAGAGGAGGAAGTGAAATGAGTGGGGGAGGACCGTCAAGATTACTTTATGTCCTTTATCGGAGCCTCCCGGCCGACACTTCTCTGCCTCTCACTCATCATTCCTCTTCTCCCCAGCTCCACAAAACACCATGCATGGGTCCAAATCATAAAACCCCAAAACCTTTTCTCTACACAGCGTGACAGGTGTGGGGGCATGTGGGGGCATGAGACAGAGGGAAAGTGCATGCACAGAGAAAGGCAGGAAAAAGGGAGGATCAGGTCGTGAGAGACACATATGCCTGATAGCTAACTCACACACAGGAAGGGGAAGACAGGGGTGTCATCACATCTTCACCTGCTCATTCCCCAGATTCCACACAGCAGCTGTTGTATTCAACCTCCAAGGCCTGACCTCTAACCAACCCTAATGAAGGTGAGGGATCGTCTCAGGGTCTCACAGATATGCCCAGTGCCTTGTTTTTGTTTTTTTTTTTCAAAACAGACTCCGCCCCAGGCACCTTAAAAAAATGCCTCTTCCCCTCCTTTGTTATCGTGAATATTCATGAGCCATAAAGCCAGGCACTGGAGACAGAGAAGGCATAATAAAAACGTCAGAGGTATAAAACACTCAAAAGAAAATGCTGCCAGGAGCATGGGCAAGTCTCCCTGAATTCCAAACTCCCACCCAAGGGTGTCTGGTCCATTAGGGCTATTGTGCTTCACTAACCTTTATGTTGCAAAAAATGGCCTCTGCTCCAAACACTCAACTTGAAGAACTTGAATGGAATCGATTTGGGCAAAACATTATTCAAGCTGAAGCCTATCATGACAGTGGTGTTTGAAATGCAAAGGAAAGGAAGCTATGGATTTACAAAGCACAAAGTGGGGGGTTATTTGTTTAAGGTTTATCACTGGTCAAGACACACAGAACACTTAGAGGACATAAATTTACTCTCAGGATATTTTTAATTGAACCTACTTTTAGGTCATGTTTTTTTAATGACTCCGTGAGGAGAAGCAGTTGGATGCATCCCCAATACAGGATGTTTGTCTTCTCCAGTTTGTACAATGCAATATTAAAAAACCAAAATGTTTTTATTAAGTACGAAGCACTCATTTTATCTGAAGTGCAGTTAAAGGTAGTGAGCCACTCTTCACTCATCAAACACCCATTTATCAGAATTGACATTAATAAGAAGAGGAAACTGTTACTGAGGTAACTAAGCAGAACCCACCTGATGAGTTATTGAGTGCCTCGCTCTCAGTGAGTAAACGTCTGCAGTGCAAAAACTGAAGCACACTGCTGACTGAGAATTATTGCACTAATGCAGACAATGACACAGCACATTATCAAAGAGCTGATATTCACCCTGGCCTTGAAATTCACGGTTAAACAATGGCTGACATCCAAGGCTGAGGGAGCGATAGTTGGGCTGTGTTTATAAGTTACAACAGTGACAGTGGTTCAAATGTTTTTAAATGTGCTTTAAATCCACATGTGATTAGATGAGGGTATAGACAAAGGACAAAAGGGCGCAGGACAAACCAGCCTGGAGACTAACTGCTAAACAGAAGAAAATATAAATTCAGTATTCAGTTTATATATGTAGAAAAAACAGTGGTAGTAAAGTAAAATCAGGCTTGTTAGCATAACAGAAATGATGAATGATTCGATTTTGAGTTTCCTGAAGACCAACTATAAATGTCAGGAATGTTTCGAAGTGAAGTGTTAGAAAAGTGTGAAACCAGCTACTTCTCCAAACCAAACATACCACAATGTAACATTTCAAACTGTCTCTAACCAGCACCGATCGATAAACATGTCCACTTCACTCTTCATGTTTTAAGTTCACAAACTCTCAACTGGGAAAAATACATTTTGGGGTGGAGCATCAGTTTTAGAAAAAGTTTGGACATTTATACACCAACTAAAGTGACTGAGCAGCCAATAAATATAAATAAAAGTGCTGCTTCGTTATAACATTGGATATACCGTAGTTCAGACCAGCCTCTTTAAGCAATATGGTATCTCAACTTGAGATATAATGGCTGCTTTCTATCTTGGACCTCTCCTACACACACTGAGTTCAGTTATGATTAACACCACAGCAGTTTTGCTACCATCATTTCCTTTTCAGAAAATTGACTTTTTCTAATGAATCTCAGCTTGCAGTGATAGAACTGCGAGGGGTTAAACCTGTTAAACCTTCCAGTTTTCCCACTGTGTTGGCTCTCACCATACTGCCAAATATACACACCAATACACTAAACAGCTCTCTCTCTCAATTTGCCCCACTGGCGCCAAGTCACCAGCTGAGAAGCAAAGTGACACCATGCCACAAAAAGTCATCTTACGCCTTCTCTGTTGCTGTGCTGAACCCCATGGCAGCCACACGGCGGGTTTGTGAGCCTATGGCCTCACCTCCGGTCCTGGTGGAGCCAGGCTGTGTGCTGACAGGAGCTGGAACTGGCTTGAGTTTGGCAACTGTTTTTTTTTCTTTATAACCCATCTTTCTCTTTCTCCCCTTCTCCCTCCCTCTGCCTTTTCATACACTCTGACTCCAAAAGGCAATACTCCAAATGTCTGTTTGCTGAGTCGCATGCAGGCAGACGCCGGGGAAAGGCAGAGGCTTGTAGTTTTTTTCCTTACCACTGCGGATGAGGGATTCTTATCTAGGAGAACAACTGTTCCTCATCAAACTGTGTCCCTCTGCCTGTCTGTTTTTGCAGCCAGCTGCAGAGAATGTCACTTCCCCAAGGGCAAGAGAAAGCAGAAGAAAACGGGACACATAAATAGAAATGATCAGCTGTGCGACCCTACAGACCTGAAGACATGAGCCATGAGAACACAAACCAAAGCCTTTGACTGCAAACATGACCCAGCTCAACCCTCACCACAGAGATCCTGTCAGTATTGGCCCACCACGCTGATCAGACTGTCTTGTCACCTACGTACAGCAAACCGACAGAAATATCACAAGGGTGCTAACAACACTGAAAGAGGTGGATCAGTGTCAGTGCATCAAGTCAAGCAAACACAGCCTGGAACTTACAAGTTAACCAAGTTGTCAGGATTGTTTAGATATGGTAGGAAGAAGGGTCCTGGAAATCACAGACAAAGAAAATGTTTGTTGACAATAACTGTTGGCCTTTTCGGATAATATCAGTGGGATTTCTGAATTTATTTATGTTCTGTTGTGAACTGCAGAGCAGAAGTCGAATTTAGAGAAAAATAAACAATAACTCAACAACTCTCAATGGAACGTTGTTTTGATGATTTTTTGAATATATATATATATATATATTTATTAAGGTCTTTTTTTGGAGGGAAAGAACATTGTTTGTATTTTCTGTTTTGTCTGGGGAAGCAGACTGGGAAAACTCTGTCCCATTATTAAATTAAGGGCTGGAGACTTTCAGGAAAATATGACGCCTTGCCTAAACGTGTCTGACAGGAGTCTCAAGTTTCACAGTTTTCTCTTTCTTGGTGCTGGTTTAAAGCACATTCAGCTGGACTGTGTAAATGCTTTAAAACATTTCTGGAATCGCTTCACCTTTTAGAGGGGACGGGTAATAGGGGAATGGAAGTGAAATGCGTTTGTCTGACTTGGCAAATTAGCATATACTTTGTTATCCCTTTAAATATCTCATCCATTTCTGAACGCTTCAGATTTTCTTCTCACAGTGTGACAAAACAAAGCTCCATTAGTATTCATACACACAGCCTGCAGAAATAAAATATGCTTACGCTGTCAAAGAAAGTTACACTATCTAATGATCTTCCCACACTAAAAATATTGTTTAATCTAACAGCAAAAATAAACTGACCTATCTGCATATCAGTGAAATGCCACACATACTGTAGCTCTGCAGTGAAATAACATCAGGAGGTATTTGAAAAAAAAAAAATCCAACTAGCATCTGCTGGTGTGCCGCTGATGTTGCATCTTTGCCTTCGTGGAACAAAGTTTTCCAGCTGTCCTGTCCAGTGGCGACAGTTGTTATCTTTTTTGCCGGTGCTAGCTGTCATCCTTGACATTAACTAGGACTGACCACAGACGCCTGGTCACATCACGGTCGGAGCAAATAGGATGCAATGTGGGAGGTTGGGAAGTGAGAATTACTAGAGAGGTGAGGAGAGAGGTGTAGGTGACCTCAGGGTGCTAACTGCCAGAAGATCTGACACTGAGGTCAAAGGTGGCGTCTCATGTGAACTCAGCTGTGTGATGGTGCGGTTGATAAGACCAGAAACTAGAAAGTCTCCTGCGAATGCCTGCATGCTCCTGTGCTTTCATAGTGTGGCTAACACTATTATATGTGATGTCTATCTGTGAATTTACCCACGTCTCATCCTGTTTTGTTTTACACAGAGCAGTGTTTTATCACAGCACAGTGTGTAATGATCTCTATGGATTTCTGATGACAAATGACAGCTATAAATCTGCAAATACAAAATGTACTCAGCTGTAGGCCTGTCACATGTGAAGTCTGGCATACAAATAACAGTCAGTCTAATTACTTCCACATATTCGGTTTAATTTATGCAAAACTATACTTGAGGCCTAATGAATGCACTGAGGCATATATTAATATGCCCTGTACAGAAACAAGCCCATATTGGGCATTAAATATCTTGGCAGATTTATTAATTGTGATAAAGAGAAAGAAATATACATTTGCGTATAAAAACTGGTCACTGGACATTTTTTAAGAATTTTATATTAACCCACAAATTAATACAAATGTATTTGTGTATTTCAGCCTAACGCAGTAGTAACACTATCCGCCTTTAGAACCAAGTCTGCCCAATAGAACTTATGGTCCAACAGGGACTGTCCTCAACAGGCATCAAACTCAAGGACACTTACTTGCCACTTCCAGCGATGCATTGCGACTGACTGCCTCGCCCAGGTAGTTGCGGGCCACACACACATACACGCCTTCATCGGGCTTGCTTCTCCTTCCATGTACGATTCGCAGGAAAAACAGCGAGCCGCTGGGCAGGAGCATTCGGTGGGAGCGGGGGTCTTCTCGATCTGTCTCAACACGTTCACCGTCTTTGTACCATTCCACCACTGGAGCTGGCCGTCCTTCAGCCTTACAATTAAGCGTAGCCGGTTCGCCTTTGGACACGATCAGATCGGACGGATGTTCTATGATTCTGGGAGGAGCATCTTCTAACCTGGGTCTGGATCCTACAGAGGGAAAAACAGGACAAGGAAAATGTTAATGTTTTAGTTTTTAAATCTGTTAATCTGATGCTAAAGATAATATTACTTTATATGTTATTTTTACATTAATGGGCTGGAGGAAATACATTCTTTCTTTGCACGCAGACACAAAATGTTAACAGTGTTTTGGCTTCTTCAAGAAAGAAATGGAATGCAGTAAAAAATGAAGCAGATTTATTTATTCATAGGATGCAACCGATAAGGAGGCAACTCAGGTAAAAAATGTAGCTTGTCTCAAATAAAGTGGCAAATCTTCAGTAGAGGAAAATTGTTGTTGACTACTGCCTGTGGTCAGCTGAAAGAGAATCAAGTTTGTTATTGGATGGGTTAAATTTAAAGAACCAATATACTTTCAGTTTACATCTAAATGCCAATTAGCCTGTTTTTGGTTTTTTTGGAAAGCTGTGCATAACTAAATTTAAATACACCTCCCTTTCCACATGAGCTCCAAGTGTAAACGTGTGACAATGTAAAACGCATTCTAAATGAGGAATCCACCTATAGAAATAATATGTCCCATCAATATGCTGTTTTTCTTCTTTCTTGTAAAGACAACCTTGAAATAAAATTCCTTCCACAACACCGTTCCTTTCTGCTACCTCCATCAATTTGACTGACAGGCTGTTTGCCACCACGATTATGCATGAAAAGCAGTAAAACAAATTCAGTACCACCAGACGAGTGAGCGGTTCCCTGAGGGGCAGAAGAAGAAAACACGACAACAGGAAAGTGCATCTAAAAAGAACGTTCTATAAAAAACAGTGTTTGTTATATTTATGATTGCAGTGACTTTAATGACTGTGCAGATAGCTATTGTGGATGGTTTTTTTTCTTCTCCTGACTCCATCAGTACAGTGTGTATATTTTTATACTAAATCCCTGTTTCACTGTCACACTGCCACTTTTGTTATGCAACTGAGGGTTGTCAGAGTCACAGCAGGGGATAAAGGTGTTCTAGTCTCTGCTTCATATCACTCTACGTTTCCTTCTGATGCTGTTGAAAAAGGCTCCATCTTGTTCTTGTGTAAATCAAAATTTTATGCCACTTTCAGGTGGAGTGCAAAGTGTTGGCTCAATGTTTGGCAGACAGATAGACATATATTTGGATTGAAGTTTTCAGCTGTGGGAGTACTGTTGTAGATTAATTCCGATATGGAACAGAATGACTCTTGTGGATGCATAACTCTGTACTGCTAGGGCTTGAAAAAGAGATCAGAGGTTCGCACTCCCATGATTAGAAAAGCTTTTAAAAGTTTTGTCTGCCAGGTGACAAAAAACTTTTGGAAGGTAATAACGGCAGTGATCTGCTGATGGGAATATAAAGCAGTCTGATGGCCCTGCTCTCAGGCATTAATACACACAAAAATGAAATAAAAGGAAATGGTTTTGAGGCTTTGAAGTTGTATCGAGTCAGAGGAAAATGGTGTCTAGTCTGGTACCTGACATCTATACACTTAAAGCATCAAAAATGTAACCAGATATACTCTAATCTAAGACCGTACACTAGTTCACTCGCCAAAAAGCATTACTGGATCCATTCCTGGTTATCACTCTTATATCCTCAAAAAAGTGATTCTTGTACATATTACAATATGTAATTCTGTGCTGATGATTCCACATATAAAAATGTCATCTCTAATGTGGTTTGTGAATGTGACAAACATTAGGCAAATGTGACTGCATACTGGGAAAACACATTTTATGTAAAAAGAAATTCAAGCACATAATATAGTCCTAATAAATCACACCTCAGCAGCAGAACCTTTTTTTGACACCTGTCTGAGGAGAGAAGATAGCACTGTTGAACTGAACTCCAAGTGTTGCTTTACTTAGCTGCACATTCTAGCATGATACTGTGTTTGTGTACCTCAAACAAATAAACATTAACTGCTTTTCAAGAGGCCATTTCCTCTGCTGGTGTATGTACAACGGATTTGATCAATGTAAACTGTATTCACTTTGATCTACAGCTTCAAACATAAAATTGTTATAGATTTAAAACCAAACTATATTAAAGGGATAATTCTATTTCTTTCGATGACTTTGAAGAATGATATTTAGTGATACGTTCTCTGAAACTGCCCCAGTTGCACTAGTTCAACTGTATACCTTACTGTACATGTCTTTGTATCATTGTACATTATTTTAATTTAAGTTCTATGCAGTTCTATCAGTGAATACACAGTACTTTGTATTTCTAAGCAGTATTATCCTCAGTAGTATATAATTGCAAAGCTCTGTGCTATAGTATACCAATCAGGAATTTGTCACTGGCGCATTTGTCAGTAGGCCATTGTTAATTTTTTTAACATATCACTGAAAATGAAGTATTTTTAGGTTAAATTTTGTGTCACACGCTTTCTAATCTGCACTGGTCACTACCAAGGTGCTATTTGCATATTTGCCATCTGTATACTGTCAAACCAGCACAGCGGTACGTTGACAGGCCTCTGACTTCATTGCTGCACATCTCAATATACAGTATACCTCTGACTTCATTGCTGCACATCTCAAGGATGTGTGCATTTCTAAGCCGAATTGAAGAGTATTCCCCAGTGCCGCAGCTCAAGAAGATAAGGGCGAGGTGCAAGAAGACAAACGGAAATTGGGTTATCAGCTCAAGTCTTAAAAAATGTGCCTAATAGGAAAGTCTGGACCCTCTGAGGACCTATTAGCTCCTGTCCATAGTGTACTACAGCCGCATGGCAGGACCTCTCCCAGCCATGTGTGAGCTAATGAAACCACAGGGAGGCTGTGGGAGTCCAGGCCGTGAGTCTGAATCTGTTTGACAAGAACGGCGTATGTGCAGAGAAGATGATTTACACTCTAACCCTGGGAAGAGCTGAGGTGTACTTAAGGAATTCACTCTCAGTGATTTACTCTGTCGACACAACGGCTGTCAGTCATCTATTTAATTCTGATTTGTTACATCTGACTGCTCAAAGAACCATTATAACTGTGTAACGGTGCATCCAGAAACATTGCTCTGTAAAGTTGTTGAGTCTAAAGAGTGTGTGGGTAAAACTTTGACTCACGGTCTGAACGTGACTGACATGAGAAATATTTACCAAACTTCCAGAACACTACAGGTAGGTAGATAAGTCTCTAGATAATTTAAAGTCACCTGAAAACAAAGTTGAATGATGAAGTCAGTGGCAACTGGTTCCCAAAGGGGGAGTATTTGTAATGGTGAAAAGCAAACTCCCAAACTTATACTGGCCACAGACTGGCCCTCGGAAAGACACTGAGTGCATCACATAGACCGAACTTGATTATCATATAGGCTGCTGTGTAGCTTCTGGGGCCATGAACACAGACCCTGAAAGGCAATATAGATTCTCACCTATATTTTGAGCCTATATATGTTTGAAGCTCACTATAATTAACCATCACCTGCAGCATTTAAAGGCAAAAGATACTGCAATAATTGCTATAAACAGTGGATGTTACATTGGTGGACCACTAAGGATAATGTATTTTTATGCCTGGTGCATAATTAGTGTTTAAACATATGTTCCTTTTTAACTTTGTGGTTCATTAAGGGGTAGAATGATGGACTGTTATTTATGCAGTATTTGCTGTAAATGACTGTTTAAGCTGAATGCAGTGTAAATGCAGAAGATGTAGATATCTCTTATTAACACTGTGATAAATACGTGCTGAAGTTTCTTTCACATTAGCAATCAATCGTTCCTGCTTTGGTTAAAAAAACAGAACTTTCTAAATCCACACACTTTGACTCCTCTGGCTGTATAATTAGAAAATTGATCCTTACCAGCAGACAGAATATCAGTACTTCCCGCCTGCCTAATGAGTTACACCACAGAGTCAAAGACGTGAACGGAGCACTCCGCCTTTTGTTTAAAATTTTAAATGAGGACATATATACAGTTTATTACATTGCAACAACTTCAAAGTGGCCTTAAACGGAGGGAGAAGGAGGAAAAGGAAAGTAAAACTAAAAGTGTGACAGAGAAATAGTGCAGGAGATAAAAGCACACAAAGACAAATAGTTGGAATTGGAACAAAGCCGCCACAGGGAGTGCAAATTCCCGTTGAAGTGTCCTTTCAGTAATGGACGGTGGCAAAGTGCTGAGGCAGAGCCTTTTTCCCCCTGTACAACAACAAGTGGCTCAGTGTGCTCTGCCTATAGAAAACTAGTGCAGTAGAGGAGCACTGCCAAAGATCTACAGTAGATCTGAAGCTGCCGCCGCCACTGCCCCCCCGCTGCTATCCTGCCTTATTTCACCACCAGCACAAGTGGGCTTTTATTCCTGGGCAGATTTACATCCTGTCTGAAAGGCCTAAACCACCAGAGCAACATCCAGTAGGTCTCACATATGTCACGCCGCTGTACTTCGCAAGACATGGACTCAAATACTGCAACAATGGGGTCAGTAACTCATCTGCATGTGGAGATTTGACTGCTGACATCGGTTACACATTAAGTAATGTAACAAAGACCTTGAGATTACAGATTTTACATGTATGTCACCTTTCCCTGTTTTGGTAAACATACAAAGTAAATATGAATAACAATGTGATAACAGCTGGTTAACGCATATGCAAATCCTATTTTCAAAAAAGTTAGTACACAATAAAAGCTAAAAATGTGAACTTTGGCAATGCACTCAAACAATTCCCTTTTTAAGGCAAGAAGACAGGAGTGGATTTCACAGAATTTGACTGGAACAAACCTGGATTACCAGTAAGCTAGTTAAATAAATGTACTATTTAAATATAAATAAGAGCCCCTCCTTGTAGGTATATTCAGTTATATGCAAATATCCTATTGTCATGGCTTCTGATGCCACAACTCAGTCTTTCTTTGTTGATGCTCCTTATACACACAATCTTAACAAATACCCTCAAATATTGACATTTCCAGTAATTTAACAAAAATCAACAATCAATCAAAAGACCCATTAACCAATTGTTTAAAAATAAATTAAACAATGAGGAAG